CTAAGTAAATCCTTCATGGACTCACTGTGTCACTGGCTGAAACTTCCCACTAACTTACAACAAAAATCAAGCCACAAAACCGTCCAAAGAATCCCCCAGATGCTTCTCCATTCTTATTCTATAGCAGTGGTCCCTAAAGCTAACTGATCTATTCAGCAACTTCTCTTTTATGCAACATTAATCAAAGAGATTCTAGGGAGCATGCCCTGCCAATCAGAAACCAGAGCAACTACAGTCACTCTCACAGGCAGAGCCAATGCAAACCCTGCCGTCCTGGGGTCACAGGTAGAGATGCTCAAAATCTCACATTAAGCCTTTTGCCAGGTTTCCTGTTCATTACTGAAAATGGGGAATAGAATATCAGCTCCTATATGTCTAGATAAGTATAGTAGATTAGCAAGATATATATTTGGGGACCTCAATTTGAATTCTATCTCCATATGATATTGGATAGGAAAGTTAAGCTTTAGCTTTGTCATCTGAAAATAGGTATGGTAACACTTACCTAACAGTGTAAAGGGACAATGGTAGTGGTGGCTAGCATGAACTAAGCATTTAACTAAAATATAAGCTCTGCTAGGACAGAGGCTTTTCTCTGGTCTACTCTCCACTATATCTTCAGTTTCTAGAATAGAGCCTGTCAAGAAATAAGTACGTAATAAAATTTTACTGAATGAGTGGTAATTTTGCTCTGGTAGTGATAGTAATGTTTTAATCGTTCATTATGATTCAGCAATTATTTTCAACAGCATACTGTTTTTCATGTATGGTGAATGCGCTAAGGGTCAGCAAAGCCCTCTTAAAATTCAATGCCATTTTAAGGAGAGGGAAGGTGGAGTATGTAGCACACCTGCTGGTAAGTGGTAAGTGTTGAAGCTTTGAAAACCCCTGCTTCTATTTCCTCAATGAACAGGAAGCCAATGAACAGATAAAAGTCTAAAGTAAGGTTGTTTATTGTACAGTTGAGATTTAATGCACAGGAGGGATAAAAGCAAAATAATGGGAAAAATCATACAAAATAAAAAGAAAGCTGTTGTATTATACTCACATAAGGCAATGTAGGCTATTAGAGGAGACTTGAAGACAAAGAGGGTATGATGGTCGATATTATGAGTCTACTTGGCTATCACAGTGCCCAGATATATTTTGTGACACTAGTCTATGTTTTGATAAGTTTAACATTTACTTTGAGTAAAGCAAATTACTCTCCATATTTTGAGTGGACCACATCTGTCAGTTGAAAGTTTTGAGAGAAAAATATTGAGTTCTCCCATGAAAGAATAAACTTTATTGCCAGTCTTCAGATTTGAGCTGAAAAATAGATTCTTCACAGAGTCTCCTGCCCAATGACCTGCCTACAGAATCTGGAATTGGCAGTCCCCACAATTTTGTGAAAATTTTTCTCAAAGTAAATCTATAGATAGATAGATAGAGGTATACATTGCTATACAAATAAATATTGACATATACATGACAATCTTAATCTATATATAACAAAATAATATGTTTGCATTTGATTTTGAATTTTATATACTTTTATAAGTATGTTATATTTTACAATAAGATAATTATAAATTATTGATGGGTTGTGATATTGTAGCCCAAAGAAAATGGTTGATTTCTCAGTGACATGGCCATAGTTTGAATGTGTTCCCAAAGCCCAGGTGTTAGAAATTTAATCTTCAATGCAACTATGTTAGGAGGTTGGGCCACCACAAATAAGACAGCAGTAGGTTATTAGAACATGAGTGGCTTATCAGTAAAATGAAAACTATAAAACCTCAAGAAGATAACACCAGATACCTAGATAATTTTCATAAGGCAATACATTACTACATACAAAACTAAATGCAAGATCCATGAAAGAAATCACTTATAAGCTGGATCTTATTAAAATTAAAATTTTTAGTTCTGTGAAAAACAATGCCAAGAAAATAAGAAGACAAGTCATAGACTGGGGAAACATTGCAAAAGATACATCTGATAAAGATCTGTTATCCAAAATATGCAAAAATAAACTTCTAGATTCAGTGATAAGAAATGAGCCCATTAAAATGGGCTAAATGCCTTATTAAACACTTTACCAAAGAATACATACAATAGAAAATAAGCATTTGGGGCTGGAGTTGTAGCTCAGTGGTAGAGCACTTGACTAGCATGTGTGAGGCACTGGGTTCGATTCTCAGCACCATATATAAATGAATAAAATAAAGGTCATTGGCAACTAAAAAAAAATTGAAAAAAAAAAGAAACATATAAAGAGATTCTCCACATCATGTCATTAGAGAAAAGCAAATTAAAACAATAAGATACCACTAATATACCACAAGAATGGCCAAAATGCACAACATAACACCACCAACTGCTAGTGAGGAAATTGAAGAATAGAACTAATTCATGCTGGTGAAAATACAAAAAGTATATGTGTTTGGAAAACTGTTTGGCAGCTTCTTATGTGCTCTTTCTATGTGATCCAGTAATTCCCTTCCTTGATGTTTACCCAGTGGTTGAAAATATATGTGCAAACCAAAACCTGCCCAGGATGTATGTTGCACCTTTATTCTTAATGGCCCAGATTGGGAGTTACCAACATGCCCCTCTGGAAATGAAATAATGCATAAAATAAGATATATCCAGAAAAATGAACGTTATTCAGCACTAAAAAGAAATGAGCTATCAAGTCATGAAAGGCATGAAGAAATCTAAATTCATGTTACTAAATGAAAGAAGACAATTGAAAAAAGTAACATAATTTGTGACTCCAATTAAATGACAATTGAAAAAAGGCAAACCACAGTGACAGTCAAAAGTTCCCAAATGTTTGGGTTTGGAATTAAATGAACAGGTAGAGCAGAGAGGAAGTCTACATGAATGACAGTATTCTACGTGACTCTATAATGGTAGATATGTGTCATTATGCATTTGTCCAAATCCAGATGATATAAGAGCACAAAGGTGATCCATAATGAAAACCATGGACTCTGGGTAACAGTGATATGGGAGCGGAGTTCACTGCTGGTACCAAGTGAACCGCTGTATAGGAGGGTATTGATAATGGAAAAGACTGGGTCAGGGTGGCCAGTGGGGCTGAGGTCAGGTATGTAAGGAATCTCTGTAACCTCCTCTCAATTTGGTTGTGAACTAAAACTACTCAAAAAAAAAAAAAATTAAGGTCTTACAAAAAGAGTAAAGACTCTAAATATGTTGCTGGGAGCCATTTATGAGCCATGGGTAAACTGAGAAATGTTGAAGCCATTAGGCAAGGAAGCCTGGTAACAGGAACTCTCAGAAGTAACCCACAAGTTGGAGAATGCCTGATTCATGTGGTGCCCTGCCTAGCTCACCACTGAAGTTCTAACTTAGCTCCAGACATGGGAGTGACCAGTTGGAGTCAGAGAGCCTCTCCAAGATGAGTGTAACTTGTCAAATGGGAATCAACCTGTTTACTGCAAGATCCCTGCAACACGGAGAAGCAAGCACCCCAACAAGACTCCTCCCCTTGAACCCTTATACCTGCCTTTGGTGTACTCCCCCTTAAATAAAGAATCAGGGCCTTTTTACAGTTGTTCAGTTCCAGTTCCTATCAGGACTGGAAGACCCATTAGATGCTCCTCTTTTTATATCTGATTTCTGGCTCTGTCTTTATTTCTGCCTGATTATTTCAGACTTTTTATTTTCCCAGGCAGCTCACATCTCCTGGCCAGAACCCTGCTCTGTTGGGGTGCTGGCAACCTTAATAATACTTGATAATATGTGATGGGTAGAACAAAGGTGAATGTGAAGATCAGAGACAATAATATTAAAATGTGGGCAGCTATCTAAATGGACAGCATAAGAAACTGTAAATGACTTAATATGTTAAATGAAACCCATCAGATTTATAAATGAATAAATCATATGTGCAAAAAAAAGAAAGTCTTATAAGCAGAGGTAACAAAATTTATGAATGAACAGTTTTGTGAAAACAGATATTCTGTCCAATCACCACTACTGGGTGTATAGGAGAGTAAAATTAATCTAAGCAGCAGTTTTGTGAACAATACTAATCTGAGTATGTCCTTTTTCTTGAACACTGGGTCATTTCCCTATATTGAGAATTTACTGCCATGTTCTTCTTTATAATATGTTTTTTAATTTCTTATTTTTATGTTTCCCAATTCATAAATGACACTTCCAATTTGATGTTGGGTTTGGGAAGTAAACATTCCTTTGCTCTGCAAGCAGTGGTGAACAGCATGGGGAACTGTCACTAGAATACTTTCTTACTAGGTCCTTTCTTTCCATCCTCTCCCTTCAAGTATCTCCAAATACACACACACACACACACACACACACACACACACACACACACACACAGCAGCACCACCACCACCTTCTCCAATGGTTCAAGACTAACTGGTGCTTCTGACTCCTAAACCTTCCACAAGGGCACAGCATACTAGTGACGCTCCTTGATGGCCTCTCTCATGAGGCACAGATTCCATCTCCACTTGGCCTGTGATGCAGTTTCTCCATATATTTTTCACCCTCTAAAATTCCATCAACATCACTGTCATCGTCTCCTTTTCTACACTCTGCAGATTTATGGTCTTTGGAGATTCTTCACTGCCTTTCTAATGGCTTCAGATAAAGTTACAAAATTGAAAAATATTTATATTTAACCTTCCACAGGCACTGGAAACTGACTCACATGGAACTTCTTAGTAAGCAAATTGAATTATGTAACTGGCCAGAGCCACTCGTCATTTAACCAGGGGTCATTTTTCAATTGTGCTTTTGCTCCCTTCCTTTCTTTTTTTTTTTTTTTTTTTAAGCGAGAGAAAAAGAGAGAGATAGAGAATTTTTTAATATTTATTTTTAGTATTCAGCAGACACAACATCTTTGTTTGTATGTGGTGCTGAGGATCAAACCAGGGCCCCACGCATGCCAGGCGAGCACGCTACCGCTTGAACCATATCCCCAGCCCCTGCTCCCTTCCTTTCATCATTAGACTGTAGCTACATCTTATTAACCAAAAGAGTCACACTTGTCTGCATGAGGAAATTCCCTTTCCTCTCATTGCAGAGGGCTGTGTGAGAGGTCTGTTCCTTGTCCTTTCTTCTCTTCCCTTCCTTCTCTATGAGCAATCTTGGATTTCCGAGTTGGGGACTCTAATTCTCCTATCACTTCTCCTTCCACACTCTGTTAGGGAGACCTTATGCACATGCCACCTCTGGCACATCTGTCTTTCTAAAAAATTAATGAGCCACAGCAATGTTTACCAGGGTGACCTGAAACAACAAATGGGGTCTAGGATTTGTCTGTAAGGATAAAGAAAGAGCCCACTTTATCATTAGAGTGATTTTACCTTGAAAATTGCTTTGTCCCTGCATGAGGAACTAATGCTGTCAGCTTTGGTTCTTACTTTCACTAGTGAAGAGGTGAGTTGGGGGTGTTCACTCCTTCTGTTGCTGCTCGGGACATATGTATGATTTTGCATCAAGAAGAGAAATGGAGCAGCACACGCCATTGACTGTGCTGAAACCAGAGTGAACCCCAGAGGCAGACGCTCAGCAGCCAGGCCCCTGGTTGCTGCTCAGAGTTTGTGCTCAGCTCCCCCTGCAGTTTCTGCCACTGTGTCACCCAGAGCACAGTAGTACACAGCCGAGTCTGACTCTTGGATGGAGGCTTTCTCCAAGTTGAAGGAGGATGTATCTTTCTTGTATGTGGCTTCAAAACCTTTGTTGCTGACCGTATCATTGGCCTTCACAGCTTTCAGGAGGAGCTGCAAACCTTCTCCAGGGTATTGAAGATACCAGAAAAGAGTAGTATACCCTGACCTTGTGGCTGAGAAAGTGCAATTTACAGTCAGCAAAGCCCCTTCTGATATGGTCATGTGGCCTTCCATCTGGGACACTGAGTCTCCACGGATCCTTCCTGGGGAGAAGAGATCTGGGTCATCTTGGTAATAAAACTTTTTGAAAAATTTATAGTTGAAAACTTTTCTGGCATCATAGTAGAAAGAATCCATTGTAAAAGGCATTTTACTCACCAAGTATCAGGAACATCACCATCACTAAGCCTGGAGAAGCATCCATCTTTACAGTGTTGCTACTAATAATGTTCTTGATTCTTAACATGAAGAATGTTGAAGTCATAGTGAAAAGATGAGCCTAAAGTTGCAATTCACACAGGAAGTGAGCTAGTGTTAGGAAACTGTGCCCCCTGGTGGACAGGGACTGAACAGGGAAGAATGACTTCCTGAACCCCTTCCTGAAGTCAGAACTATGCCCTCACCCTGACCTCATTTATAAGCATGTATTAGTCTTCAGGCGGCCCTTGTAAATATAAGGGACAGCTATCATTACATCTATGGACTTCTTTATTTTTAGGACTCTACCTGGCATTGAAATGCTTTAGTAGACCATCCCAGGGTGTCTCTGTAGGCCAGAAGATATTAATATTGGCATTTTAATACAAGCTCTTATAAGCACAGGTATCAATTGTGGGTCAACCTACAATCCATGGAAATGTCATGAAAGCATTGTAGGAAGTAATAAAAAGTCAAGTCATTATTGAGTGACTGCGTTTTTCAGCACTGAACCCCACATACAGAGCAGTAACTGACATTTACTAGGTGCACAATTCAAATTTTGTTAAATGAAGCCGAAAACATGCCTAGGTGGTCTTGGTTGAGAAATCATTACTAGGGGAAAGATCCTGTTCCCTGGAGTTCTCTCTCCACAGATTCAGATAAAGGAGCTCCTCAGTTCAGAGTCAATCTGTAAAAGCTTCACAGATACAGACATAAGTAAGATTTACAAGCCCAGATATCATTTGGAAGCCAGATGCAAAAAGAAAGCATCACATATTTTCTCTCATATAAGTAACTTTAAAAAAAAAAAGAAAAGAAAGTAAGAAATGACCTAAAAGTAGAAGAGTGATTATCAGAGAAGGTGAACAGGACTGATAAAGGGGCAAAAGTACAGTGGACAGGAGGGTAAAATAGTGGAGAGTGGACACAGTATACTCATGCATGGAAATGTCACAGTGAAACCCCTTAAAATTCGTACAATTAATGTGTATTAATAATTATACTTTTAAAAATAAAAAAAAAGATATCCAGGCCCAAATATTTTTGAATTCACACACCCCTTTCTCTCCACCACATTACAGCCTTCCATGTCACATTGCCAGAAATTAACACAGAACTATCCTATAAATTCTGGAAAATTAGTTATAAATTCTATTTTGATATATGATAACAATGCAAACTATGTTAGGATGATGCTGGCTTGGAAATAAACAGTATAGCATAGAGTTTCTCTTTTTGAAAGTAAAAAGCTTTGCACAAATGGATGGTTGCACAACAATGTGATTGTACTTAATACCACTGGACTGTGCACATAAAAATGGTGGAATGGTAAGCCGCATGTTATGAATATTTTACTACAATTTAAAATACTTTTTACAAAAAATTGTAAAGTTTCTTCCCTAAATATTTCTACCCACATCCCAGCTTTCCAGAGGCAAATATAATAGGAAGTTACAATACAGGATCGCTCATCAACCAAACAGTCAACCACCACCAATCCTATTTTAGGGGATGAGAAAGTGGGTTTATACATGGAAGGAGAGAATGAAGATTTGGTATGGTGGGATATTGATGGAGCACAGAAGGCCAAAGGTGTACAAAATGAATCACATGATGGTATCAAATGATTTTGGAGGAGAGGTAAAGAGATAAACAAGACCAGAGAAAAGAGATTTCACACACTGCCCCTTGCAATGCCCCTCAAAGAGCCAGTAATTGTTGATCATTTTATGGATAAAATTGGTACCAAGCAGGTAGACTTAGCATATGGAAACTGAGCTCCTTTGTGCTAAAGGCTATTAAAAGGCCATGTAAATGGAACAAGTTCTCAGATCAAAGTTTGTCATACAGAAGTTACTCATTGACTATTTTGAATAAATATGATATATAAGTGAATATAGTATTAAAATCAAACTGCATTATTCTGTTAATAAACTGCCTTTTGTTTTTTAAGTTCTGAATTTAAATACTTGCATCTCTGTTAAGAATTAGTACTTTTTATTATGCTATAATTTTAGGTATTGGATTAAGGTTTGGCTAGCTCCATAAAATAAAAACTCATTGTCTAAGTAGTGAATACACACTGAAAATTAACCAGACATTGAGAGGGAGAAAATGTTAGCTATATAATCAATTATTTCTTTGTATTTGGAATACTGGTAAAAATGAATACATAAAAGAAAATTTTAATGAAAATGTATACATACAGATAAGTATGTAACATTAATGGAAATTCAATTGAAGGTAAATATAAGAAACTTCAAAATATAATTGAAGAACATAAAAGGCCTTTTGTAAGTTGAGAAAATGAGGAAAGAAGATGGCAGATTAAAGGAAGGGTTCACCTCACAGCAATTCCTCAGCACCATACTTACAATGTGGGAATACTGCTCCCCCGTGAGGTGGGTAACAAAGTGAACTCACTCAAACTCAGTACTGCACTGTAAAAAATATTGTAGAGACACAGAATGTCCGAAACTTAGAACAGAATTTAAAAATAATGCATTAGAAATGCACCAGCTTGGCTGAGGGTGGCCAAAGAGGGGAGGGGTAAGCAGTGGCATTGAGAAGATGGCATGGCCAATAACCAAAAAAAAATATTAATTTTTTTAAAAAAAAATTTTGGCTTGGGGGAACCTGTGTATTAGAGCAGGAGGCTAAATTTAATGAACACAGAGTCACTGGAGAAAGTGGTTCATTGAAACCAATCACAAATTACTCAGGGGGCTGGGGTTGCAGCTCAGCAGTAGAGCACTTGCTTAGCATGTGTGAGGCTCTGGGTTCAATCCTCAGCACCGCATAAATATAAATAAATAAATAAAGGCATTGTGCCCAACAACAACTAATGTGTGTGTGTGTGTGTGTGTGTGTGTGTGTGTGTGTGTAAATTATTCAGGACCAGAGCAGATAGTTCAGCAGGATCTGAGATTGCTGGCCCAGAGATGACTACAGGCCCAGCCTAGGAACTGCTAATAAATACTGCCCAGTAGTGAGCAGAGTCAAAGCAGGGACACAGAGAGGAAGTAGCCAGCAGTTGCAAATTCTGACCTTCAGTGTATGCTTGAACAGAGTGAATAAAATAGGCACAAAGAAAACCTTTGTTGTTGGCGTCCCATAGGAGTTATTAGAAAGACACCTATAGTGCCCACTCAGGAGTGTGTACACTCCAGAGCTGCTACCTGGTAATTCACATTTATAGCATTGAAGGTGAAACCTGTGGAGGGTTTTTATGCCCTAAAAGTAGATTTCACTGGAGGCTCCAGACATCCAGATGTCCAGCACAGACTGGCAGCTCCCCAGCAATATGAGGTGTGGATCAAATCTCAAATACCTACCAACAGAGTTCCAAAGTTCACTCACAATTAAACCCCAACCAGTGGACTTCCAATTTAGAACTCTGCATAACCCCCGCCCCCTACAGAATTCATGAGCACTCTCCAATGTACCCAACCAGAAGCTTACACCTACTACACCCCGCTGGCAGCTAGATGATGAACACACAGACATTGAACTTTATAACCCAGCCCTTGATCCAAGGGCTATAAAGCCTAAATAAATGTAAAGAATAAAAACCCATTCCTGCCAGCAGTTTTGACCAACATAGTAGAAACAAGCCCTCTAGTTCTCATTTTTTTTTTCTTTTTCTTTATCTCTTACCTCTCCATATGCCCATTTTTACTCTTTTTTAAAATTTAACTCTTGAAAATTTTTCAAACATCATTTTATCATATCATATTTTTAAAATTTTTTTTTCCATTATGCATGATTGTGTGTGTGTGAGTGTGAGTGGGTGTGTGTGGTTGTGTGTTCTCACTGCATGAATATTCATACATTTACTTTCACATTAACAAGTTTCTTCTGCACACGTTTATTATTTAACCGTGATTTGACTTAAGTGCAGTACAAGAGTTTGAGTTGTTTCTATCTCACCTTTGCTGGTTTGTTCATACCTTGGTTATTTTCCCCCCTGTTCCTTCTTCCTCTCTTTTTTAATTATTTTCTGTTAATTTGTCATTTCTTTTTCTTTACTGCCAAAATCTGCTGTCTCCTGTCTCTCCTCTGATCACTTATTAATATATTTCAAGATTTCTCTCACCTTCCTACTCTATTTTCTCTTATGTAAGAAACTGTAATCCCATTAATAATACAACCATATAATTTATGTAATCCCTACCCCCATTCATGTTGTTGTGATTATTAACACAGTGGACAACATAGTAGACACCTGCTGTCACATGTCTGATCTTATTGGGTTTTTTATTGTTGGTACTGATGTTAAATACTAACATCATCATTCCTATAGAGGATGCAATAATTGTTATAGATATCAAAGTAGACAACAGACACTTGAGATTGTACATCCATCGGTGGCATTAGTGCTAACACTGGTTCCCCACTCCAAGAGGGATTGAAAAATGATTAGCACACTTCAAAGTCACAGAATAGAGATTCTATTGCAGAGAAATCTCACATCTTAGACAAGAAACAGTGGCCCTCACCTCACACGTGACCTAACCCTGCTTGAGCCTTAACATTACTTTAAATCACAGAATTAGGGAGACAAAAATCTCAAAGCAACAACCAGGACTCAAGGAGGAACAACCAGAGGGGGACCTCTAGTTCCATCCCTTGACATCTACTCATATAAAACAAAAACAAAAAGAAGCTGCCCCCAAAAAATAGCTACACACAAAAGAACAAGTATATAAAATAGAAAACAGAATCTACCTCAATTGATGTGCAAGTCCAAGACCTCTGAAAACTGAGGAAACAGGAAAAAAAAATTACCCTCAGAATTCACATTCCCCAACAAAGGATTCTGCAGACATAGAAGTGGAAAAAATTCCAGAGAAAGATTATAAGAAACTGATTAGAAAAATGTTCAATGAACTAAAAGAAAATCTAAGGAATGAATTAAGAAAGAAAATATAGGAGATAAAAGACCACTTCAATAAAGAAATAGAAACATTGAAAAGAAACCAACCAGAAGTCCTGGAATTGAAAGACAAATCAAATTAAAGATTTATTTGAACGCATCACCAATAGATTAGCTTACATAGAAAACAGAACTTCAGCCCTTGAAGATGAGATACATGAACTTAAGTACACAGAATATAATAAAGGAAAAAGAAATGATATAACATGATAAGAATATACACAAACTCTGAGACAACATCAAGAGAGCAAACCTAAAAAGGAGATTTCAAGCAAAAATGAATCAGAAGCTACAAAAAAGACTGCTACATCCTGGTAAGGGGAACAATCCAACTAGAATATATAGCAATAGTAAGTATATATGCCCAAAATGTCAGTACACCTAATTTCATTTAAAAAAATTCTCCTGGACATTATATCTCAGATAGACTCATTACAATAATTCTGGGTAATTTCAAAACACCCTTATCACCAATAAACAGGTCATCAGAATATAAAATAAATGAAACAATTTCAAACCTAAATAATAATATGAATTAAATTCATCTAATATATATTTACAGAATATTTCACCTCAAAACACCTGAATATTTTGTCCCAAAACACCTTCTTCTCAGCAGTTCATTAAACATTTTCCAAAATGTACTATATTCTAGGTCACAATGTAAGTTTTAGCAAATGCAAAAAACAATTAATATAATCCTGTACCTCCCATCAGATCATAATGAGATGTAACTAGAAATCAACAACAAGAAACAACAGAAACTACACAAGCACAAGGAGATTGAACAATACTTTTTTAAATGAATAAATCAAAGAAATGAGAGATGAAATCAAGAAATGTTTTGAAACAAATGAGAACAGAGGTATAATATGAAAGCATTTTTTTTTTAAAAATTATAATATTGAGTGCTTATATTAAAAAAAGATAATAAATAAATTTATGTTCTAACTCAAGGCCTTAGAAAAAGAAGAACAAACTAATTCCAAACTCAGTAAAAGGAAATAATTAAGATTTAAAACAAAAAATAATAACATTGAGAAGAAAAAAAATACACAAGATGATGTAACAAGGAGTCTTCTAAAACATAAATAACCCTAAGCCAAACTGACCAAAAGAAAAAGACCCAAATCAATAAAATTAGAAGTGAAAATGCAGCTATCACCACAGAAACTTCTTAAATCCAGAGAATTATTAGAAACTGCTTTGAAAATGAATACTCCAATAAACTGGAAAATCTAGAAGACACTGACAAATTTTTTACACATATATGACTTGCCCAAATTGAAACAAAAAATATAGAAAATATAAACTGACCATTATCAAAGAATGAAATTGAAAAAGCAATTAAAAGCCTTCCAAGAAAGATAAGCTGAGGACCAGATGGATTTTTAGCTGAGTTCTTCCAGACCTTTAAAGAAATAACACCAATCTTTCTCAAATTATTCCATGAGATTGAAAGGGAGGACACATTCCCAAATACATTCTATGAAGCCAGTATAACCCTGAAACCAAAACCAAAGGCACATCAAGGAAAGAAAAGTACAAATCAAAAACCTTGCTGAACACAGATGTAAAAATCCTTAATAGAATATTAGTAAATTGCATACAAAAATACATCAAGAAGATAATACACCATGTTCAAGTGGATTTTATCCCATGAATTCAAGGTTGGATAAACATACACAAATCAACAAATGTAATTCAGCACGTAAATAGAATTAAGAATCAAATAGAAACTAGAATTAAATAGAAATTAAGAATTAAATAGAAACAAGAATCACATGATCATCACAAAAGATGAAGAAAAGAACTCTGATAAAATCCAGCACCTACCCAGGTCAGTAATTCTGAAGAAGTTAGCTATAGAAGGAAATATACCTAGAATAGAAGGAACACTCCATCATATCAGTGATGGCACCAGCATCCTTAACAAGACACCTAAAACTCAAGAAATAAAACCAAGAATCAATAAATGGGATGACAGCCAGGGGCAGTGGTGCACACCTGTAATCCCAACAGCTCAAGAAGCTAATGCAAGAGGATCACAAATTCAAAGCCAGCCTCAGCAACTTAGCAAGGCCCTAAAGCAACTTAGAGAGACCATGTCTCTAAATAAAATATTAAAAAGTGCTAAGGATGTGGCTCAGTGGTTAAACACCTCTTGGTTCAATCCCCAGTACAAAAAAAAAGTGGGGAGGGATGCCATCAAATTAAAAACTTCTGTACAGCAATGAAAATGATTAAAACTTTGAGGAGAGACTGTACAGAATGGGATAAAATCTTTGCTAGTTGCTACTAGAACAGGAGATTAATATCTAGAATATATAAAGAACTCAAAAAACTTAATAAAAAAGAATAACATTCAACAAATGGGCAACAGAACTAAACAGATTTTTTCTCAAAATAAAATACAGAAATGAACAAATACATATATGAAAAATGATCAACATCTCCAGCAGTCAAAGAAATGTAAATCAAACCTATACTAAGATTTTACCTCACTCCAGTCAGAATGGCAATGATCAAGCACACAACAAAAATAAATGCTCCTGAGGACGATAGGGAAAGGCACACTTGTACATTGTTGGTAAGACTTTAGACTAGTACAAGCGCTCTGCAAAGCAATATGCAGAGTCCTCAAAAAACTAGGAATTTAACCACCATGTGACTGAGCTATCCTACTCTTTAATATCCATCCAAAAGAACCAAAATCAATATACTATGATTCAGCTACCTTTATGTTTATAGGAATACAATTCACAATAACTAAATTATGGAGTCAACTCAGATGACCATAATAGATTAACAGATTAAGAAATTATAATGTGGGCTGGGGATGTGGCTCAAGCAGTAGCGTGCTTGCCTGACATGGGTGCGGCCTGGGTTCGATCCTCAGCACCACGTACAAACAAAGATGTTGTGTCTGCCGAAAACTAAAAAAGAAATATTAAAAAAAAGAAATTATAATGTGTGTGTATATATAATGTAATTTTACTCAAATAGGAAGAATGAAATAATTATGGCATTTGCTGGTAAGTGGAAGAAAATGAAGAACATCATACTAAGTAAAATAAGCCAGTTTCAGAATATCAAGGGTCAAATGTTGTCTTTTGTGGAAACTAGAGTAAAATAAAGAAAAGAAGGAGAGGAGGATTGGATATCATAAAGATCTATGGAAGACCAATAGAGTAGGGATCAAGAGGGAGAGAGGAGGGATGGTAAAGCAGAAAAATACAAAATTAATTTTAAAATACTGTGCTATGTGCATATATAAATTCACCAAAGGATTTTCAACTTTATGTGTAAATAGAAAGACCCAAGTCAAAAATAAATAGATGAGGGAATGGAAGACCAGTAGAGTAGAAAAAGGGGTATGGAGGGAGGGAGGAGAGGAAGAAAAAGGGGGAACATGAACACAAATCAAATTCCATGCACATATGATTGTGTCAGGTTAAACCCAACTACTATGCATAATTATAATGCTTTAATTTTTAAATGTGAGAAAATTAGCACTTAGCTGAAATAAAAATTAATAAATTAGTTGATATTTCATGTGTAAATATGTTCAATAGATGTAACTTCAATTTCTATTTTTAAAGCATTCTTTGGTTTTGCATGTTTTTTCACTTGGTTTAGTGGAGGATTATTGAATATGGAAAAATTGAAGCAGATTTGAACATTTATGTTGAAAATAACTGTGCAATAAATTACTAAAAATTTCATGGTAAACTTTACTGCTTAAAAGTGATTTACCCTAACAAGTAATAAAATTTACTGCTTTCTGTAACTGGCACAGAATGAAACAAATAGAACAATAAAACTAAAAAAATCATGTAGAAACATATTATACTGAAAGTGTAAATTTAATATTTTTAAAGTATGGTAACTGTTTTAGGAGAAAATGATCCCTTATCTACCTATAAAGAGGTCTCTGTGGGGTGGATCCTCCACATACCCAAGAGCCACTAGTTACTGAGCTTTCCATAGATGTGAAGGGTGAGACAAAGCTTTCAGTATGGGAATGGGGCTCTTCCATGTAACAGTTAAGAAGAAGGAACTCTTAGAACAAAGATTGTAACATAATAGACTCTTAGAAAGTAAATATAAGTAACTTCAAGGAAAGCAAATGTAAGTCAAAAATCATGAAATTGTATGAATCAGCATGATCTTTCTTAAACACACACACACACAGAGAGAGAGAGAGAGAAATTTCAAGGCCTTCTCTATTTTAAAATACACTAGAAAATTATCTTTATTCAATAAATACTTAATGGAAAATTCTTTCTAAAAATCCCAAGAGTTCATACATATTTTTACTACTTTTTAGTCATAGGTTTCTGAACTAATTTAGCCAATTCTTTGAGTTAAATTTTATATCCAAATGACAGATGGTTTATTGTACTTATTCTTCCTTTTCTATCTTCTGTCAAAAATTCTGAGCCAGGTGTGGGGGTGCACGCCTGTAATCCCAGCAGCTCAAGAGGCTGAGACAGGAGTATCTTGAGTTCAAAGCCAGCCTCAGCAAAGGCAAGGCATTAGGCAACTCAGGGAGACCCTGTCTATAAATAAAAAATAAAAAATAGGGCTGGATGTACTCAGTGTTCAAGTGCCCCTGAGTTCAATCCCCAGTACCAAAAAAAAAAAAAAAAATCTTTATCCACATTCAATCCAAAGATTCAGGAATACGGCTGGTTTGTTTAGTGATAATTCTGATGTGGTCTATGAACCTAGAGAGGGTTTCCTCAGAGTGAGTGTTTTCCCTCCAACCCCAGACATGAGCTGACACAGCCCTGGCCACTTCCTGTCTGGGGTGCCCACTCCCTGCCTTGGTCACTACAGCAGGTAGCTGTCTCAGGCAGACCCTGGGTTTTTGTGCACCTCCCTCCAACAGTCCTCTCACTGTGCCATCTCTCAGTGCACAGAAATACACCTCTGAGTCCCCCAGCTGTGAGGCTGAGATGACAAGCTGGATGGATTTGCTTGCCTTCTGCAAATTCACTAAGTAGCGACCTTCTGTGGCATTTTGCTGGCTGTAAGAGTTCTGAAGAAGGAGGAAGACCATCTCCCCACTGCTGGGCTGCTTGTACCAGAGGAGACCATAACTTGTCACAGTGGTGTCATAGGAGCAGAGCAGGGTCACAGCCTCCTTCTCCTGCACCCACATGGCTGGCTGGGCCTGAGTCACCTTCTGGGCAAAACTGGATCCTGAAAAAAAAAAAAGGACAGAATCAGAAAGTTCAGAGAAGAGGTGGTGGGGAATAAGAAAGTGTATTTATGTTCACTGCTAACCTCCCTCCTAAAGTCTCTTAAAAGCTACACTGTTCCCCATTCCCTTTTTCACAGAGAAGGCCCCTTACCACAAGGACTATCCCTACCCAGCCACATGGACACCATGACCAGCTTCAGCAGCCTGGACAGCACCATGTTGGTGTTCTTCCTCTAGATGAAAAGGATCTGTTTACTCTTGGATTTCAGGTCTGCACTGGGAGGGGAGCCCCACAGGGTGAGAGAGGAACTACTGGGCTATGAGCTGGTGCTGCACCAGAGCAGGAAACAGAGGCTTCCTGGAGCAGGAGGTGGCATGTGTCATCTTAAACGTCTCTGTGGCTGGCTGATGGTCTCACCAACACAGACTTCAGATCTGGCACTGGAGTCACACTAAATCTGATTATGCCACAAGCAGGACAACTGTTCTGCTCTCCACTAAATGGAACATTTTTCTACCAGGAGGATGACTAATTAATTAAAGAGATACAATGAAATTCTTCTCATACTATTTAATCTGTTATACTGTACATTCAAAGAAATCTCATGATTGTATTTATTTTATTCAAAAACTGTCCAGACCAGGTGTAGTAGCGCATGCCTGTAATCCCAGCAGCTCCAGAGGCAGAGGCAGGAGAAATGGGAGTTCAAAGCTGGCCTCGGCAATTTAGCGAGTTGCTAAGCAACTCAGTGAGACCCTGTGTCTAATAAAATACAAAATATTGCTGGGGTGTGGCTCAGTGGTCACATGCCCCTGAGTTCAATCCCTGGTAATCCTCCCCACCAAAATTTTAAAAAGTGTCCATATCCAGAAAAGATATTTTGAGAGTCTCATACCAAATTTAGAATTAAATTTTACTTCAATAAAGATAATATCAGATTCTAATTTATATCTAGTCATCAAGTAGAAGGAAAATTAACTTAGGTTGCTGAATTTGTGGATCCCCTTGAGGAAGGTGAACACAAAAAATATATACAGTGATGTCAGCATCTTTCAATGAACTTAAAAACCTCTAGGACTTCAGAGACTATGATGTTTCTTAACCCTATTAGCCTCTTCTTAATCTGATACTTCAATTGAAAATAGACCCTAAATACTTAAAATATATGATGTCTTCATGATAATCATGGAAATTTTGTCATGAAGACAAGATTCCACAGTATAAGAGTCACCACAGAAGCTGGGGAGGGGATGATGCTTGAGCAGATGATCATACTGAATTGAACATGCCTTTCTGACTACAGTCCTTAGTAAGGATCTCTTACACAACATAGAGAAAAATTCACAGAAAAGCTCCACAATTTCATCTGAGATTCAAAAAATTAAATCCCCAAGTTTGCATAGAAACTCTACAAAAGAGGTTTCTTTGATCCATGAGGACAAGGTATTACCAAAGCCAGACAGATCCCCTGGAGAAGCCAACTGATCTCCAGTGAATGCTTACTTAAGTCCCCAGAAACAACACATCACAGTAGGGACATGGGGCTGAAACATAAACTGAACACTATGGAATACTATAAAAACTTTCCTAGCATAGCAGAGGATGTGACCAGTTCATGCCTTTCCTGAGACCAAAAAAAAAAAAAAAAAATTCCATAAATACTGTAAAGATGGGACATTAATAGAAACATAGTCCTGCAGACCCATTTGAACATTCCCAAAACAATTTCATAAAATTGCAATAGCTGTATGAGTCATGAGTGTGTACCACTAAGTCTTCTATTTTCTCATGAGTTGAAGCAGCCTCCTATCAGAAAGGTACAGCACCTGCGATGAACAAAAATCAGCTTGATTTTGTGTTCCCTGCCTGAGTTCATTCAATTCATGTGAAGCACATTTCTGGGACAGTTAGGCAAGACTTTGTCCTCACTCATAAATTTCACTTTTTTCATCACTTCTCTGTCCTCTGAAAATTTGGAACCAAATGAAATGTCCAAAATCAAATTAAGTACTGAGTCATGCTACAATACAGCTTAGTAGTAGAGCGCATGCCTAGAATATGTGAAGCCCTGAGTACCACCCCCATTGCCAAAAAAGAAAAAACAAAAATCAGGTGAAATTAATTACTGTATCAGACATGCTTGAGCCCCCATGTCCTATGTAATGCATTGTTAACCTTAGCCCTGGTGGCCCTGCTTTTCCCCCTCATAGGAAGTCATATGTTGTCTTGCTATGAACTAGTCACCAGTAGGTACAGATAATTCCCAAATTATACAGATTCCATGTTTCACAAACTGAACTAGATAAGTAAACTCATGAATCAGTATCCTCATCAGCATGCCAACTGGTTGCCTTTCCTGGCCTCTCATTTCATCAGCCCTTACATGGCCTAAACCTAGATGACCTGATGAAACAACACAGAGAATGATGCCTTTGAACCTAATAGAAATGACCTAAGTGCTATTTACTACCAGGTGAACAAGGAACTAATCCTAAAGTACAAGGAACTTATCCTAAATGCATTTAACAACTAGTATGACATCACTCATCCTACAATGACAAGAATTAAAAAGTAATTCACATTAATGAGCTTAACTAAGATTCTGCAGAGAATGTCCTTAAGTAGACAGTCCTCAGAAGATGAGTGCTGACCCAGGATCCTTGAAACACAAAAACCCTGATACAACCTATACAGTGCCTCTGAGACTGTCAGAACAGAATTCTCTGGATTATTAGAAACAATTCACTGTAATATCTCCTGTCTGATCCTTAAGTTTTTATACTTTAAGTAGTATTTTCTCACCTGGATGGTAAAATGCAAAATGTTTATAATTTATCTTATTCTATTCTTTTACTAGTAAAATAACTTGATTAGGAACAGGCTTTATTAAGGCAATGGCCACAATAATGTTTTATTTCAGCTCTACAAAGCCATTAGTAGTAAATCATATCTAAAGAATTGCTGAATATGTCATTCAATGCCACTTCTGGAAAAATCCACTCATAACCCAGCCTTAAGAAGTATAGATTAAATGACTTTTGATTAATAAAATTAGACTTAAAATGTTAGAAATGTATCTACTGATGAATAATCAAGATAGAGTTGGTGCAATTAAACTTATTCAGAGAAATGACTCACCTGACAGTATGTACTAACATAACACTCAACTGAAACTCTCCTTTATCAATTGTCATTAAAATGGAGTATCTTTTTTCTTTTTTGGCAAAAGTAGAAATTAGATCACCATGGAAATAAAAACACTATAAATTATGATTTTCTAAGTAAAATGACTTAAAGTTTACAACATTCAGGAGTAGGAGCAACTGAGATTGGTGCAGAGATGGAGGCCTCACATGTACCCAAAGGCATTTGCTTCCTCTATCTAAGATTAAGACTTCTCATAACATTTAAATTGTATTCTTCTAGTGTCTCAGGAGGCTAAAGCAGGAGGATCACAAGTTCAAAGTCAGACTCAGCAACTTAGCAAGACCCTAATCAACTTACCAAGACCTAGTCTCTAAATACACTATATAAAAGGGCTGGGAATGTGGTTTTTGACCCTTGGTTTAATTGCTAGTCCCAAAATAAATAAATAAATAGTATGTTTCTCTTCACAGTACATTCTGTAAGGCCATGTAGAAAAGAACACACTAAGGTTTGTCTGGACATAGGGATGGGAGGGTGTGATATTACAATAGGAGAGACAAGAGGTTCTGAAGTAATGACACTGCTCCATATCATGATTGTGCAGTGGTTACACAGATCTATATGATGCACTGGAATTCAGTGTTCACAGAATTGTACACCAAAGAGTTAATTCTTATGTACAATAATTTTTAAAATAATATTTAAAACACCAGTAATATAAAGTGATTGCACATTCTATTTTTGTGACTGGAATCAGTCTAATATATAACATTACTTACTATTTGGTAGGGGGAGCTCCAGCCATACCCACTGTGGAAGGCAAAATAGCACCACCAAAACTAATCAGGCCCTGACCCCTGGAATGCCAGTTACTTTATATACAGGTGTGATTAAGTTAAGATCCTGAGATCTTAGAGGGTATACTGGATTATATGAAATTTGAAAGCAATCTTGTGTGTGCTTGCAAGAGGGACACTTGTCAATGTGAGAGAGATGCCAGGGTGACTATGGAGGCAGAGATTGGAAGAGGAAGCCCCAAGCCCAGAAATGCTGGTGGCCATCAGAGCTGGGAGGGGCCAGAGGCAGATTCTCCTTACAACCTCAGCACACATGCAGCCCTCCTGACACCTCACTTCCAGCCCAAAGAAACTGATTTCAACTTCAGGCCTCCAGAATCATGACAGAGAAAAAACACTTCTGTGGCTATAAACTACCAAGTCTGTTATATAAGCAAAAGGAAAACACACACCAACCATGGTGTGGATCCAAAGCTTGAACCTGTCTGGATCTGAGATATTGACCCTGCACACTGTGGCTGGAAGGTGTGTGTGTGTGTGTGTGTGTGTGTGTGTGTGAGTGTGTGTGTGTATGTGTGTGTGTTTATTCTTTTGGATAAACTGTCACCTTAGTAAGATAGATCTTTTAGGTGAATAATAACATACCCTCTGTCTTATACCATAAAACGTAGTGATAAAATGTAAGCCACGCTTCCCTCTCACTCCATGACCAGTCTTGGGGGAAGTGGACTAATAAGGAGTCTACTTCCTTCTGCAGGACAGGAGCTAGTGATAATATTGAGGGAAAGAAGGAGAGCCAGTTGAGGAGGAGCCACAGCATTAGCTCCCATTCAGATGTTTTAAATCTAAATTATCTAAAGAATACAAGAACAAACCAATTAGCTGATAACTAACATCCATAACTCAGGCAAGAGGAATTCTCCTCACCACACCAATCATGGTCTCTATTCATTCTTAGTATGAGAGCTCTTAAAATGCACATACCTGGAACTTAGGAAGATGGCGGCGAAGGGAGTGCATCACCCCCGTGTACCGCATCACTGTGCGGGAGAATGACGAGTTAGAAAGGCTAAAAGCTATCTTGTTAGGAATTTCCAGCAAAATTGGGGTGCTCCAAAACCTATAGGAAGGATTTCCATCGCACGAGGATCAGCTACGGGGGCTCAAACGCGAGAGATTTGTCCGCACGGAGGGTCACGCTGCTTATTCAGCAAATCACCCCGGCTAGAGTCTGTGCAGCGCGCTGGGAAACGACGAGATAGCAATGCAAAGATACAGCGCTGCGGATTCTGCGGGCTCCTTCCAGCTGTGCAATCACTGTGCTCAGTGCTG